GGAGGGGCGCCGGGGGGGGGGGGGGGCTGTGGTTTTGAGCTGCTGCAATGGGCAGGCAGACTCTTCTGAGGTGCCCCCCCCCCCAAGCAGTGCTCCAACAGCTGCTTTTTCAGGCTTGCTGCCGTTTAAATACAAAATTCTACAGGCTGATTTTCTGGAGTAAAAATGCAGGCAGTTTCTCCCCAGTGTCCTTGAGAAGAGCAACTGGAGGCAGCACAAGGCGGCTGGGTTAAAGCAGAAACAGGCAGTGAGATTGAGAGAGGGGCCTGTGGGAAGGGGAGCAGGATCTGGAGCCTCAGATGGGGAGGTGGAAGCACCCAGGGCTTCGCCTCCCAGTTGTCAATCTGTTGAACCCCAATGGGTGCTACCAGTTTCAGAGCCTTGGTTTTCAAACCAGCCTCAGCTGCAGCTTCTAATTCAAGCCGAAGGTTTTCCTTTCAAGATAATCTAATCCTTTCTAGAGGTTAAGAGAAGGTGAGCAGCGTTCCCAGCGTTTCCCTCTTTCAGATGGCAGTTCAGCCTGTTATTTCTCCAAGAGCTGATATGAGTGGACTGACGCTAAGGATTTTGTCACCCACTTACTCAGAGCTTAGCCCACATTTACTTCTGGTTTTCAATTGTTTTACTCTGCTTGCTCTTGATGCTGAGTCACGAAAATGGCTTTAGATATTGTTTTATAACACAAAAGCGGGTCCTTGTACATTTAGCCTGACTGAAAAGATCTGCTCCCTGTCCTCTCCTCTCCTCTCCTCTCCTCTTTCATTTGTCTTTCATAAGCTGCAAATGATTAACATCCAAAGCTGAGAAGAGAAGCATGGCCTGAAGACAAAGGCCTGGTGGCCCCCCAGCCCATTCCCAGCAGCTGACTGAGCCGTGGTTCCTTTCTTGCCCCTGCCCCGGGGCGGCAGGCTCCAGTGCCCCTTAGGAGGCCCAGTTCCTCTCAGCAACCCCCCCCCCCCCGGAAGAAAGGGACCAAACTCTTACATTCAAGACAGGAAGTTATAGAATTGGGAGCTTTGTGAAAAGAATTACGTTGGGTGGCTAACATCAGTGAAGCTGCCATGAACACATTTGAAGAGTCTGTTATTAAAGAATGACCAACACAGACAAATTCTCAGTAAACCTCCAACTATCCAAGAAGCCAAAGGGGCAATAACAGAAAACAAACTTGGGAAAGGACCCTCCGGATGGGCTGAGAGCACAAAGCAGCAGCGTTTCTCCACTTCAGTAACTTTTAAGAAGTGTGGACTTCAATTCCCAGAACTCGTCAGCCACAGGTGCTGGCTGCGGAAGTTGCTGAAGTCGAGAAACCCGGCATAAAGAATTTGAGGAGGAATTGTTGGAACCACCGATAAACCATGAATGAAATTAAAGAGGCAAAGGTGAGGCTGCCAACATGGGAAGAGGTCTGTCTTTGATTTACAAAGAAGGGTGTTTTAGCTTGAACCCTACAATGCCCGGTGCGTTCGGGTGTCTAGCTCGGACATGAAACGACACGGCGGGCAGGCCCTGCTCCTGACACCCCTGCAAGGGAACCAGGTGGTGGCTGCTGCCACCCCTTTGCCAGCAATGCAACTCTCTCCGGAGCGCGCAGCTGCTTGCCGTTTCCCAGGCGGATGCACAGGCCGGCACAGATCCCAGCGAGCCTGGGCACATGCTCTCCGCTGCCACAACGTGTTCCGGCTCTGCTCCGGCCTCAGCAAAGGTGCGGCTGCCCCAAAGCATTTGCAAAGCCTGCACGTTTGTTAAAGGCGCCCGGCTGAGGTGGACTGTCATTCGCAGGGCATAAAGGGTGACAAGAGGGTAGGAAAGGTACGCAGGTTCTCCATTTACACGGAGCAGGAAAGGGCCCTGTGTAGGAAGCCTGAGAGAAGAGGGGCTGCGCTCTGTGGGTCCCAAGAGACTGGCAGCCTTGAAAGCCCCCACCCGGGGCGCCTGGCCCGGCCGGGCC